GAAATCCTAAACCCAGTACCTCAGAATGTGACCTTATATGGAAATAGGGTGATCACAAAAGCAATTAAGATGAGGTCATACTGGAGTAGGTGGACCTTTAATCCAATATGATGGAGATCCTTATAAGAAAAGACATAGAGACAGACACAAGAAAGGAGAAGACTGTGATATGATGACAGAGGCAGAGATTGAAGTGATGTCTCTACAAGCCAATGAACACCAAGGATGACTAGCAGAAACCAGAAGTTACAAAAGGAAAAGAAGGACTCCCCCCTACAGTTTTCAGAAGCAGCGTGGTCCTGCTAACAATTTGATTTCAGATTTCTGGTCTCCAGAACTGCGAGACAATACATTCCCGTTGTTTTAAGCCATCTAGTTTGTGACATTTTATTATGGCAGCCCTAGGGAACTAATGCACCCCCTCAAGGACACCCCTTGATTCCTGCCACTGTACCACACATGTTCAGCTATGCTCTCTGGCAAAAGTTCCTGTTCTCCTATGAAAATCAGCTCAATATCCCTGACTTTTTCCTCAAGAACTCCTACCATCTCCCATCATGGAAATCTTCTTCAAAGGAGACTGAGAGTCCCCTCAGCGCCACAAACCCATCAAGAGAAGGTAACACTCTGACATTCTTAATCTTAGCTTTGCTAAGCCTAGGCCATTATTCCCACACTTTTTTTCCATTTATATCAATTGTCCTCAGCTTTACTAAGATATAATTGACAAATGAAAATTGTATATACTTAAGGTTTACAACATGATGTTTTGAAATACGTATATACTGTGAAATGATTACCACAATGAAGCTAATTAACATATCCATCACTTCACATAGTTACTATTTGTGTGTGTGTGTGTGTGTGTGGTGAGAATACTTAAGATCAACTCTCTTCGCAAATTTCAAGTATACAATACAGTATTAACTGTAGTCACCATTCTATACATTCATCTTATTCATCTGGCATAACTGAAAGCTTGCACTCTTTGGCCAACATTTACCCATTTCTCCTACTCCCTCACCCCTGGAAACCACAATTCTACCCTCTGCTTTTACAGGTTCAACTTTTTCGGTACTATTTGTCTTTCTGTGTCTGGCTTATTTCACTTAGCATAATGTCCTCTAGGTTCATCTACGTTGTCACAAATGGCAGGATTTCTTTCTTTCTTAAGGCCAAATAATATTCTACTTATGTATATTTTGTCAACCATTCGTCCATCAAGTGGGCCCTTAGGTTGTTTCCATATCTTGGCTATTATGACTATTACGTGCCACAACGAATATGAGAGCACAGATACATTATCAAGATACTGATTTCATTTTTTTTTCAGATATATACTCAGAAGTACGGTTGCTGGATCATAGAGTAGTTCTATTTTTAATTTTTTAGTAACCTCCATATTATTTTCCATAATGACTGCACTAATTTACACTCCTACCAACAGTGTACAAGGGCTCCCTTTCCTCTGCATCCTTACCTAGTCTTGTTATGGTTTACCTTTACATAGAACTTCTCCCCCAAGAGTCTATCCTCAGCCCCTTTCAATCCTCCCTCTACATCTTCTACCTCAGCAATTACCTTTCCCACCTTAATTATCAATTTTGTGAGAATGAGCTTCAGGTCTATATCTCAGTTCCCTCCCCTCTCAGCTCTAGACAAACATTCTTTGCTGTTTTTCTCCAAAAAGATATGTATTGGTACCTACAATTTACTGTATCTGTAACCAAATACAATAACCACATTTCCCATCCAATCCCAAACCAACCTCTCCATTTTACTGACTCTTTTCTATTTGTGGCACTTGCATTCTCCTAATTGCCTAGGTTCAGAATTTCAAGTTCAACTTTAATTTTTTTCCTACCCTCAAGCTCTACTTCCAATCAATTCCTATTCCTTAGACCCCACCTCACAAATATGTCCTAAGTCTGTTCCCTCTTCCATTTCTATTGTCACTGCCCTATATCAAGCTAAGACTGCTATTGCAAAGGCCTCTCAACTGGTCTCCCCATCTTCGACTTCTCATTAATACAATCTTAAATACGTTCTGATAGATCCCTCTCTCTTGAGCAGTTTCCTTCATTGTCTAGAAGATGAATAAAATTACCTCTCTGGGAGGTAGAATACTCAACTATGTGTCCACGTCAAGCCTTCCAATTTTGTCTACTATACATCATGACACAAAATATGCTCTAATCAAGTTGTGCTATTTGCTGATCTCAAATGTTTTTGCCTTTAAAAAAAATCCTATAGTCAGGAATGCCTTGGGCTGATACTATAATAGCTGGATATCAAGGGACTATTTGTCTTTATTTTATGAAGTAACTCCTGTCCTGCTCTCCCTCGAATGATCTTGGTTAGATAAGAGCCATCACAGACATCTGTCTGTGTTCATGACCATCATTCACTCATTTTCTTGATTCTCCAAGATTCACAGACACTTCCCCCAAGTCTCAGATTAGTTAAAATGAAAAATGTTCTAATCAAACCATACAAGCAATTTATCACTAAACAGATTTTCACTTCCTTATTGTTCCATTATAATCTGAATTAATCAGAGAGGAAACATTGGAAGCCTCAATTTATACTGGAATTTCTTAGCAATCAATGTTTCTAAAGAGAGAAATTCAGAACAGAGTACAGGAAAATTTATAAGAATTGGGAAAATATATAATTTTATTAATAGGCAGACACTCCACAAAATGAATTTATACATCTCCTTCTCAGTCAAGATACTAAGATTTTTAAAAACACACTACTAACATGGTGACAGAAATGTCATCAATGTTGTAGTAAGAGAAGTGAATGTTACAGAACTAATGAATTTTCATCAGAGTCATCAGATCATTTCAGAATGGGTTAAGTTGCTACCATTTGCTATTCCCATTAATATCATTGTCATGTAAAAGGTTTAATTTTCAGCTATTTTTGTTCTAGATAAAAATCTTTGTCATTAAAATGAGGGATGGTTTTGATATTTAATATATTCCATGGCATACTCTAGTGTGGTACCAATTTGGCCTTTTCAGTATTCTGCATATTAATTGACAATCCAGCCCTCCTCCATTCCCCAGATAAGTGAGAGCTGAAATAGAATGGACAGCCAATCAAGTCACAGAATACTGAAAGGATCAACATTGAAGAAATGTGTTGCTCTAATCAGGAGCATACACAAGGCACTAAAATTATTTTCTCCCATACTAATGACTAAGATAGAAACAGGAATAATGAACGGCACCATCTGAATCCTTTTATGTGACAGTATTACCAAAGTATAGCAATGCTCCCCAAAAGTGAAAACTAAGTATTTCTTTTTTTAGTCAAAAGAATAAAACTGCGATCTCACTTAACTTTTAGAACAATGCATTTTATCAGATTCTGCAACAACTGGCAAATTATGTCCTGTATTGAATTTTTCATAGCAATCTGTTTCATGCACACAATGTGACCTGTAGTTGAAGAATGTACAGTATCACTGCAAAAAACATATCATTTCAATACATACTCTATCAGTTTCCTCCTCTTGTTGAATTACCACTCTGGTGAGAACTGACATCAGCTGCTTAACTAATGCATTAACCCTGCTTCCAGAAGCTTTTGTTTTCATTTGAGTGGGCATTTCCTCTAAGAAAAACTTAGGATTCTTATGCAAGAAGATAATATAATTTGTCATCATTTAAAGTTTAATTGAATGTTTGAATCATTTTTATAGAAATAATGATGGAATTTAAAATTTCAAAGAGCAAAGAGTATGGTATCATGTACACTAACAACAAGTGTGGACAGTTCTTGAATTAAATCAATTATCCCAATCTGTCCAACAACACCAGGCCTTTTCTACATTTTCCACAATAGCACAGCATTGGGATAAATGTTAAATATACTAACTGTTGTGTATAATAAATTTTCATGCCCTAGTAAATGCAGAAGAACAGATCCCAAGCATCTTCAAGTCTTTCAAGAGAAACCTTATTCCAATAATATAACTTTAGACTCCGTCCTTGTTAATTCTAGATAAGCCCAAATCACTCCCATGGTCTTTTCCTGAGCTGAAGCCTCCAAGAGAGACAACAAATTATCAATATAATTTCTTCCTTCAAGTTCAAAATTACTCAAAAACAGCCAAGGGGCACTTTAATTTTTCCACAAAATATTATTATTACTCTTAGAGAAAAAATATGTACCTCTTATTCAATAATTCTCAATAAGAAAATTAGATTTGTTAAGTAACAATATGTCTCCTTTCACCCACTAATTATATTGTTGACCAGTCAGCAGTAAGATTTGCACTTTAAGTTGTTTTTTATTTTGTTCTGATTTTTTCACATAATGGAATGGATTTACAACCTCATGGCTAAACATACACATGGTAAAATGCCTTTAGAGATTTGGATAAGCACCTTTAAAAAAGCCCAGGACAGAGCCCATCAGCACCTTGTTCTAGCCCAAATTTTACATACTGCCCTTCACTTCACTGTAAGCTACAGAGCATAAGGTAAGAATAAAAATGCAAAAAGTCAAATATGACAATAAGAATATTGCTGAAGTATACGCTCCGGAGCTACTTCAGTATTGTTTAAGATGATGACCAGTCTTAATCCCTCTAGTATTGGATGTTAAATTCCACTGCCTTTTTTTTTTAATTTAATGACTTGCTAATGTAAACTTCCACCTAGAACAATCAAATAGTATGTCATTTATTCAAATTTACAGTGGCTCTAATGTGCCAGCAAGCTCCCTCATCAAAAGAGACAACTTTAAAAAATGTTTACCTGAGTCAGGAGCTCTATTTCCTAAATTAGCACCAAAATGTCACCTTGATAGACCATGAACAACAAAATCATTTATAATAAACCCAACTTCCCCCTAGAGTGGACAGCCTAGGTCATGCATCTGTAGGAGCTCTAATTATTCCACACAGATCAGAGAGCACTTGGAGAAGCTCAGACTTCCACAACTTGTCGCCTCCAAATGCAGTCATCTGATAAATATATGCTTACCAATCTCCCTCGAGATCTGAGTGAAGGCCTCCACACCACTCTCTCCATAGTTGCCCTCAGAAGCCAGTGTTGACACATAATTCCACCCCAGTGCCGTGACAATGTCCACCATGGCTTGCGCTTGGTAGGAGTCAGGTGGGACTACCCGAGAGAAGAAGTCATACCTGGTGTTATCACTTAGCTCTGGGGCTGTGGATGCATAGCTGATTTGAGGTATCTGCAAAACAAGTGACAGATCATTTCAACCCATAAGGAATCTTGTCGAATGATGAATTGTCACATAAGAGACTAAGTAGCCAAAGCTATACCAGTAACCTAGCCATATCAGCCTGAAGCCAAAATATGGTTTTGTGACCACCAATTTTATTTTATTTTTATTTAGTATTTTATAAAAGTCTGTAGGCTCACTTTCTTTCAAAACACATTTCTAAACAGCAAAAAAGAACCTAGTGTTGCTTCAGGTTGTGAAACCAAAGCAAAACACTTGTGCTTTTTATTGCTTCTTTTTTATACCATAGATGATAAGTTCTGGCACAAAAATGAAGCCAAAATGAAGGTATAATGCATACACACATCAGAAAAGGTCATCTCTGAAACTGTATTTAGCTTTAGGACATAAAGGCTACACGATCATGAACAGAGAATTTAATATGAGATTTTTTTACACTTGATACCATTTCAATCTTAAGATTACACTTTTGGTAAATTACTTTAAATATACAGTTTTACGAGTCTATTCACTGTTTATTGATATAATCATTGAGTGCCACAGAAAGATTTGGGAACAACCAACTATGTATCTTCTAATAAAAAGATCTTTCCAGCTGCCACCCAAAAAAATTACAAAACGGGAATCTATACTATAATTTCTTTAGGAAAAGAGACAGTTTTCTATCATACATAAGATGAATTGCCAGATTTTGAAAACTAGGAATCCTATGTCACTTATCCTAAATAAATTCAAAGTAACAAATTAACTACATGCCACAATCTCCCCCTAAAAACCTTTTAAAATTTGTGAAAATTTTATATAAAAATGAGTAACATTTACTCATATATCCAAGCAAGGACTTTTACTCTACCAGTGAAAAGTGCTAGGATAGAAGAATACATGGATGCTGAAGAAGTACAGTGGAAGGACATTCAGGCTAGATGGGGCACAGATGATGAAAGAAATCTGGCAAACAAGGTGAGGAAGGACATTTCAGCCACAAAGAACTGCATGCCCAAAGGCATACAGTCAAGAAAGGGCATGGTAGATTCCAGGAATTGCAGCATTTCACATGGAGGGAATGCAGGATAGCAAGGGAGGAATGTCAGCAAATAAACAGCAAAGCTGGACAGATAAAGGGCTAGTCAGGTCTGACAACAAGTGTGGATTTTATCACAAAGGCATGGGGTAGCACAGAACGACTAACTAAGATGGTGGCATAATCAGATATTTGTTTTAGAAAGATCACATTGGCAGCAGTGGAGAAAGTAGCAGCCCTCAAATTTCAATGTACACCTCGATAGCCCCATTCCCGAAAATTCTGACTTGGTATGTCTAGAGGTTTAGAAATCTGCTTTTTAATATGCTCTCCAGAAGAATCTAATACAGGTGGGCCCACACTATGCTTAGAGATAAATCAAAAGAAAGCCATGCTAGATGCAGAACAACCAGTTAGAAAATTACTATAGAAATCTAAGCAATGAAAACTGAAACTAAGGCAATGATGGGGGAGAATGGGGGTGGGGAAGAGTGTAGAACCTATAAGTATCTAAAAAGCAAGGTAAGGTGAAAGTAATGAGGGGAAATGTGGAATGACTCTTATTTCTATGACTTTGGTAACTGGGTAGATGATGTTTGCTATTTACCAAGATACATAGAAAAAGAGGAGATTTGGAAGACAAAAATTGTGAGTTTAATTTTTTATTGGCTTCTTTTGAGCTTCCTATGAAATGAATGAAAGCAACTAAAAAGTAGGCAATAATATTGGGATATGGAATTCAAGAGTCTTTGGGACTGGAGATTAAGAAGGCCACACAGCGGGGGGGCAGGGGGCGCATAATGAAGAAAATAGTTAAAGCCAAGGAAAGTAACAAGAGTGAAAGAAGGGCAATTTGGGAGTGTGAGCGATGCAAATATGCATCTCACCACGCCTCTGCTGCCCTGCCATAGTGTGTAAGTTCAGAGGTCAAAATGACTCCAAGATGCCCTAAGTCCGGTTGCTTGGTTAAAGATGCAGGTTTGACTGGTACATAAAATAATCAACTTTGCTCTCCATCTGATCCTGCAGGTAATGTCAGTACTAAGGTGTCAAAGAGGCTGCAGTTCTATCTTCCCACATGGGGCTGACTGCACAGTCTAGAATCGGTCACCCACCACACCCTGGCCAGATAATTCCAAGTCCCCATGGAGTGGACTCTCCTCTTGACATCCTTGAAAAGCCCTCAACATCTGAATAACCTTTCATGGGTCTAGAGAGTCCTACTCCATATTGATAGCCAGTAAAGTGAAACTAAACTTGCCAAGATATAAAAGCCTCAGTTAACAGGAGCCGCACTTAGAACAATGTGCTTGGAGCTCTCCAGGGTGCTGCAGGATCCATTCTGCTTTTGTGTAACCAGTATCTATGTATATTAACTATACAATGATTTTATCCTATTTAACCCCCAATTCTTCCTGGTCCTGTTCTCCTGATGGGACCATGTTAACTTGCTTATTAACATTGTGGGACCATAAAAACCAGTCTGTCCTGCCTCCTTCCTGCCCCTATGCTTTCTCTGCTAGATACACTGGTCCTATCTTGGAAGACTGTTCCCTTGATTAGACCTTCTGCCTATGACTCCTCAGCAAGGACACCCCTTCAAATCTCAAACCACACACCAAATCTGGGCCTCTTTCACCTTCTATTGCTTGCTTCTAAATAACCTGGGAAAGAGACAGTGAATGGCTCAGTGAGATCTACCGTCTACTAAATAAAACTCCCAAAGATCAAGAGCATGTACATGTCTATGTTCTAATGAAAAAGATTCAGCAGCCTGACTTTCACTCTGGAAGGAATTCTGTGCATGTGTGAGTGTGTGTGTGTGTCTGTGTGTATGTGTGTAGGAAGAGATAGGAGAGCATTCTATAGCAAATTCTATAGTACTATACCATTGCCTTGTCTTATTTGGATATATAATAATCTTCCCACTTCCTCAGCTACTCAGAGTCCAGCAGTAAAATGCCTTACACAACCCCCACCCTACTTATAATAATGAGCCACCCCTTTCTAAAAATGAGTGCAAAGTGTGAAAATTGAGTGTTTGAAACCAAAACTAATTATCTCAAATTACTACCTTCAGTCAGTCACTTCCAGGGCTGTTTAATTAGCAGTCAGCATCATGTTTAGGATTAATTAAACAGGTGTAAAGGGTATATAAAATAAAAGTGCAGATAGAAAATGGTTGCTTGAATAATTAGGTAAAGGACTTATTCCCCAAAGTCTTGAGGAGTTTTCTCTTTGCAGATCAAGGTGTGGAAAAGTGAGAGTACACGTTTGTGTTTTCATTTGCTCAATTTTTGCTATGTTGCAGTCTACAATAATAGACATCAGGGTATACTGATCATATTTTAAGAAACTTTTCAAGTCATTATGAAGTTGCATCTCATTTTAATTTTATTGTGGTTGACCACTAAGCATTGGCTCATTAAGCATTTTAATTTCTGTGCCAGCATTCCCAATATTTCCACTATCCTCAATTAACCCCCTACTGGCAACTGAAGTGGGATTTTTTTCCTTAAAACCTAGAATGTTCCTTTTTCTTTTCTTTCCACTAAATCCATCCTAACTAATCCCTTCACTCTGAGTTTCATTTATTAGAAACAACAAGAGTAAAAAAAGAAAGGTGGGGAAAAAAAAGAGTGGTAAGTGAGGGACAGAAGTAGAGAGGGAAATGAGAAAGAAAAGAAGGAGAATGGGGGCACCTGGGTGGCTCAGTCAGTTAAGCATCTGCCTTCAGCTCAGGTCATGATCCTGGGGTCCTGGGATCGAGCCCCGCATTGGGCTCCCTGCTCAGTGGGGAGTCTGCTTCTCCTTCTCCCTCTGCCCCTTCCCCTCCCTCAGCTCATGATCTCTCTTTCTCTCAAATAAATAAAATCTTAAAAAAAAAAGAAAAGAAAAGAAGGAGAATGTACCAAGAAAAGAGTGTGTTAGGAAAAGCATTCTTCATCAGCTCATTCTTTGTAACAAATAACATCCTTCATAAGCCTCTATTAAATCTCACTTGCCCATTCAAAATATATCTAAACTCTTCAGTCTGAGTCACCAAACCCTGATGACAGACTCTGTCCCATCCTCCTTCCTAACCTCCTATCTTCCCTGTCATGCCCTGATGGAGTCTGCACCCCTGCCCATGCTGTTCCCTGTGAAGCCCATTCTGTCCACCTGGAGATCTTCTGCCCAAATTCAATATCCAACTCAAAAGTCACCTCCTCCCTGGGAAGCTTTTGCTCATTCTCTCAGGCAGAGCAGTCTTTTGCCACTCCTTGCTCCCATAACTTCCATCATCTGACATGAGAACCATGACTGTGTGCTGGCTTATAAGCCTCCCAAGGGAAAACTGTCTATTGATTTATTTGGTATCCCTAGCATCTGACAGAGCAAATGCTCAACGAATATTTGGAGACAATTAATTAATTAAACTGTGGCAGGAATCTTGATGCAGACTCTTCCCCACAGCCTTCTGCCCTGCATTCCAGCAAAATATTGGACAGACTATTCTCCATTTGCCCTTCTTACTCCTTCTCCTTCCCACTATATGTCCGAGGAGGCTGCTCTGTGACTATCTCACTTGAGCTCCCTCACCTCAGGCTTCCACCTGGGTTTGGCCATTGGGAGACACCAACAGAGATGGGAAGGCAGAAGATAGAAGTGAGAGTATTAATTCTCCCAACTCCTTCTTCCACCAACTTGGTGTTTCTCTACCTAAGCCCTCATCCACAGCTAGAGTTCTTACAACGTTCTAGTGACTACTCTCTACCCTTACCCCTCAGATCTTCCCAGTGTTGCCAATTCCTGAGTACTTCCCATCCAGTGTTGGGTCCTTTATCTGTGCCCACATCTTATAAATAGTACTTTTGTTAACCTCTCTCCCATTACCCCCTGCCAGAAGCCTGACTAATACACCCACTCTTTCAGGTCTCTGTAGAAGAGACATCCACTGCTGTGCTTCCCCCTCCTCAGCCGTGCC